GAGACAGAGTTCCAGAAGATCCCCCTGAGCCCTTTCAGCTCCTCTGGGAGACCTGCCAGAGATAGGAGACCCAGACAGCTGTGTGCATGGTGGGGCCGGGCTGCTACCAAGAAGGAAATGGTCTCTAGACCCCTTCCTACCTGGTGGTCAGGAGTTATGTTGGAATGGCTCCGACAGGGAAGTCAGATCCACAGTGAAACCCCCAAGGAATGAAGGACCATCTACAAATCCACCCTTCCCATGTCCTCAACTCCCAGTCCCCACATTTCCAGCCTGGAGCCCCAAGGCTGGCCAGGGTCATGGTGTCCTCCACTTCCCTCCTCCAGGTGGAGGTTCTGTATGAGGACGAGCCGCTGAAGGAATACTACACCCTTATGGACATCGCCTACATCTACCCCTGGCGGCGGGTGAGCCAGTGGGTGGGACAGGCAGGGAGCAGGTCCCCGCAGGGTCTGGCCTTGGTCTGTGGCCACGTGGGCCACCCTCCTCTTAACCGGAGACAGTCCATCCCTTGTCCCATGAGCTGCGTGTCTAGGGTGGTTTGCCACAGCAGGTCAGCCTCGGGGCCATCTCTTGTGATGACTTTCCGCTCAGGAGACAAGACTCCTTGGGCAGATGGCATCCCCTGATTTAGGGGCATAAACAGGTGCTGGTGACTGCCATGTTTTGGTCTCCCTCTCTCCTCTCCTCCTCTCTGACCGAGTCTCTCCTCTTAGACCTTTTGCCTCTCTGGGTTGTGCCCTGTGTCCTTGTCTCTCTCCTCTCTGAGGTCCTGTCCTGTCCCTTTTTTCTTGTTTGGACACTGTGGGATGGAGCTGGTGGCCTTCTAGTTGGCCTCTCCTGACACCGTCCCTTCCCTGCCTCTTTCCTCCTCCCTCTTCCCACACAGAACGGGCCTCTCCCCCTCAAGTACCGTGTCCAGCCGGCCTGCAAGCGGCTCACCCTAGCCACGGTGCCCACCCCTTCCGAGGGCACCAACACCAGCGGGGCGTCCGAGTGTGAGTCGGTCAGCGACAAGGCTCCCAGCCCTGCCACCCTACCAGCCACCTCCTCCTCCCTGCCCAGCCCAGCCACCCCATCCCATGGCTCTCCCAGCTCCCATGGGCCTCCAGCCACCCACCCTACCTCCCCCACTCCCCCTTCTGCAGCCAGTGGGACCACCACAGCTGCCAACGGGGGTACCTCGAACTGCCTGCAGACACCATCCTCCACCAGCAGGGGGCGCAAGATGACTGTCAACGGTGCTCCCGTGCCCCCCTTAACTTGAGGCCAGGGACCCTCTCTCCCTCCTTCCAGCCAAGCCTCTCCACTCCCTCCACTTTTTCTGGGCCCTTTTTTCCACCTCTTCTACTTTCCCCAGCTCTTCCCACCTTGGGGGTGGGGGACGGGTTTTATAAATAAATCTATATATATATGTACATAGGAAAAACCAAATATACATACTTATTTTCTATGGACCAACCAGATTAATTTAAATGCCACAGGAAACAAACTTTATGTGTGTGTGTATGTGTGGGGAATGGTGTTCATTTTTGGGGGGGTCTTGTGTAATTTGCTCTGCTCTTTTTGGGGGTACCTGGAGATGAACTGGACGGGCCACTGGAGGCTCAGTCAAGCTCTGCGCTGTCCTCACTGTTCCCAAGGCAGATGGGGTGTTGGGGGCCCCTTCAGCCCCAAAGCTTTAGGCACAATTCTAACTGTCAATAGGAGCCAGTTAGAACTGTTCCTCTCCCCCCGTTTCTCTTCCCATCTTGGCTGCTGTCCTGCCTCTGACCAGTGGCTGCCCCCTGCATTGTTGAATGTCCAGAAATTGCTAAGAACAGTGCCTTTTACAAACGCAGTTTATTCCTGGGTCTGAGGAGCAGGTGCAGGGTGGGGGTGGCACCTCCCTCACCTCCTCTTCTTGCAGTGGAAACTTTGTGCAAAGAATAGATAGTTCTGCCTCTTTTTTTTTCCTCTCCTGTGTGTGTGGCCTTTGCATCATTTATCTTGTGGAAAAGAAGATTCAAGCCCTGAGAGGTCTCAGCCCTGGAATTCCACTGTGGCGTTAGCATTGTGAAGTGCTTCACCCCCACCGCCCCTGCCCTCACCCAGGACCCCTCACTAGCAGGACTGGTGGTGGAGTCTCACTTGGGGCATAGAGTGGAGGCGGGGGTGAGTTAACCTCACACAAGCACAGACCCCAGACTTTGCCAAAGGCACACAGCCCTCCAGCGGCCCCTCCTCCCCCAGCTGAGGCCCGGTCACCTGGTCAGGACAGAGCAACTGCATCTAAAAGCACAAGAAAACAGAAACCTGTAAGCTCTGGCCCCAGTCCCAGCCCCAGAGGTCAGCGGACCACCTCCCTAGGGACAGACCTGGCAGGTCCTGCCCACCGAGAGTTCCGCAAGTGTGCATAGCTCTGGGAGGCAGCAGGAGTCGAGACTTGAGATTCCATCCCAGCCTAGGTGTGTGGGGTTGGGAGCCCCCAGTGGGCTTGTCTGTGTTTGCGCCTTGCCCTGTGTCTGAGGTCCTGTGACTGTGCCCTCCTCTGCCCTGGGACGTCTGTATCTGTTGGCTTTGTAATAAATGCTGCATACTTTCTGGAGCCTGTAGTTCTTTTGGGGGAAGACGGGAAGGGTGCCTTGTCTCTGGGTTCAGCCTGGCTTGGGGACCCCATATGTAATGAATCTGAACTGCCCTCTCCTGTGGCTGCTCAGGTGCCCCCAGCCACACACAGGTTAAAATCTGGAGCAGGAGGCAGCATGTGAGCCGCATACCAGTGACCACAGGACCAGTCTGGTTGGGCAGCCTTCTTTATACCGTCTTCTCTGTCAGCAAACATTGACCCAGGGTGCACTCCTGCCAACCCCAGACTGGAGACCTTTACGTTATAAGGAATAATTCTTCCTTCGTGAGCCAGACATGGGTACCAGGTCTTGGGTTCAGCACCTGTTTCCTTCACCACAGAAGGGGTGCCTGTCACAGGCCTGGAGCCGAGTCCACCTGTGACTGGACAGCCCCTTCAGAGTGGGGAGCCCACCTCTGCCTTCTGCACACGCTCACTCCTGTGGGTGCCATCACAGTACGGGGGCCTCTGGGTAGCCTTGCAGGTACAGAGTGCCACAATGCGCGTCTCTTGGGCCTTGAACTTGAGTGGAGATAGGCCAGTGCGTTGGAAGAAGTGGGAGCCATCACAGAAGGGCTGGTGGGTGAAAGATGGGAGTCAAAGACCTGACCCCACCTGCTGGGGCAGGGCGGGGCGGGCTGCGGGAGCTCAGGGGGAGTGGGCACAGTGGTTAGGGTGCAGGCTCCAGAGCAGACTGCCGGAGCTTGCTGAGTGACCTCCGCTGTGTAATGTGGGGTGATAAGTGCTGAGTTGGATGAGGAAATGAAATAATGATCATGGTGCACTTTGCCTGTACTAAGTGTCTGGTAAGTATGTAGAGTGTTCACAGCATTAGTATCCGGGGCAACCAGAGGGCCAGGACACTAACAGGAGTGTGTGTGTGTCTGTGAATGGCTCTGAGTCTCCTTGTTGGCTCCATGGAACAACTGGGCATGTGACAGGGAGTGAAGGTTACAGGGAGGAGGGGATGCCCCATAGCAAACTGGCTGCCTGGCACCAGAGTGCACTCCCCATCCCAGAAGCCGCTCAAGCAGAGACTGGGTAATGGAAACAGGCCCAGAGAGATGATATGCCTTACTAGTTAGAGGCAGAACTGGTGCCAATGCCTTTTTTTTTTTTCCTGAAAGGGTCTTGCTCTGTTGCCCAGGCTGGAGTGCAGTGGTGCAAACACAGCTCACTGTAGCCTCAGCCTTCCGGGCTCAAGCAGTCCTCCTTCCTCAGCCTCCAGTGTGGCTGGGAACACAGGTGCACTGCCATGCTATTTTTTGGTCGGGGTAGAGGCATTTGTAGAAATGAAATCTCAACTTTGTTGTCCAGGCTGTTCTTGAACTCCTGGGCTGGAAAGATCCTCCTGCCCTGGCCTCCTAAAGTGCTGGGATAACAGGTGTGAGCCACCCCTTGCCTAGCTGAACCAAGGCCTATTGACATTGGAGTCAGGGTGGGATGGGAGGAGAGGTGAGAGAAGTGTGCAAACAGAAAGCAGCAGCTTGTCTTAAAGAGGGCTTGAGGCAGAGGTGTGTAGACCTAAGTGGGACCCAGGACCCTGGGCTGCTGACACCACGCCACATAGCTTGAAGGAACACAGGTCTGAGCTCTCTCAAGAAGGAAAGGGGCCAGGGAGGCAAACAATGTGGGCCGGTTCCTGCTGGGACGAAACGCTCCTGGGCAGAAGGGGAAGCAGGTGGGGGCAGGCAGCGAAGCTGAGAAGACCGAAAGCTCTGACAGGCAGCCAGGAAGTCCCATAAACTGAGAAGGATGAGTTTTCTGGAAGAAGAATGGAGGGGCACGGGGGAAGGCTGGGAGGCTTTGGAGGCAGGAGAACCTGGGAAGAATCCCGGGCAGAATCCCTTCCCAATGTCAGGGTTCAAGGCCTGGGAACCTATGGCCCAGGTGCTTCCTGGAAGAACGGAGGAGACGGGAGACAGCCTCGTGAGCTCTGCCACACAGTGCACCTCTGAGAAGCAAACAGCCCCCAGAAGAGCCCACCGGAAGCCCGGCTGCACCCGGCTGGCTAGGCGACCGAGTGTCTCTCTGGCTTCATTGCAAGGGGTAGATGCAGTGAGCTTAAGGCTGCTGGAGGCACTGGCCTTTTGTCCCCAAGCCCCCTTGGTGTCCCTCAGGTACTCGTGGGAATAATAAGACCATCCTAGGTGGGAACTCCCAGCCAGGAGTATTAGTAGGAAGGCAGGCAGGGGTCTCACCTGCTTCTTGCTGCGGCCACACACACACCATCTGTAGGTTTTCCCTGCTACCAGCTCCACCTTGATGGGTGTCTTCAGGGCCACCACGGACCTGGCTGGGGTTCTGGGGAACCACCGGGCCTGTGGCCAGGGAAGATCATGGGCTCAGGGTTAGCTCAAGCCCTGGAAGCATCTTCCTGCCTGCAACCCTTCCTGGTTTCCCACTGGCCTCTGTGGATGGCAGGTTTCCTTCACCGGAGGCTGATCTGACTCCACCCAGCAAGGCCTTTCCCCAGGACACCATGAGGACCGTGAGCTTTGGATAGGGAAGCGATTTCAAAGCCAGGTTTCAGACACTCAGGTTTCAAGGTCCAGCTGCCTGCCCTCAAACTCTGGTGCCCACTTGGTGCTAGGGCGGGCAGGCCGTGATCCTGCCAGCCTATGGCAGGGCCACCCACACTGGGGGTTGGTTAATCAGGTGCTGCTGTCCTCAGCACAGAAGATTGGCGCCCCGCTTGGTGCCCTGTGCTCCCCTCCCACCTCCCCGAGAGCCACGGGCTAACTCCAGGTGTCTGGAGTTTGGAGGAATAGGGCTGTACCCTTCCTAGCTCCATTCCCTGGTCTCCGCCTTTAGATCTCCATGCCTGGAGGTCTTGTGCGAGGAGGAGGGGAGGCTGGGGGTACTTACCAGCCAGGAGGAGACGTCCCGCCGCGTGTTCAGGTCCTGCAAGGTACGCAAGCATCACAAGACGGTGGTTTGGAAACAGAAAAATAAAATCAGTGGAAAGGGAAGGAGGCAGGAGGCCATCTGGGAGGGAGGTGACAGGGCTAAAGGGGCGAGGGAGAAACGAGAGGGTAAGAAAAATGGGTTGCAAGAGAAGGTGCTGGCTGGGGAGGTTCTGGCAACCACTGGCGCTTGGGAAAAACCCGTGAGCTGCGGCCAGCCAGGCACCGGGGTGGGGGGGGGGCGGGCCGGGGGCTCGGGGGCGCTCGGCCGGGGTTAGGGCTGGAGTGCGGACTGGCAGGGGCCCGGGTGGAGGCCTGGGTGGAGTTCGGGGCGGGGGGCGGGGATGCTCACCCGGGCGCCGCGCGCCGCGCGCCGCAGGATCGCCCCCACGCCACGCATAGTTGGCTCCAGCGCCGCGCCCGCCCGCCGGCTTCGCCCACTCCGGGTCAGCTCCCCGCCCCCTCTGTCCCCGGCCAGTCAGGCTCCGGAAGACGCCGCGGGGTTCTGCGAGGGCGGAGGCAAGGGCCGGCGGGTCCGGAAGCCCGGGCTTGAGCGGTCGGTCCCAGCGCCCCCTGCCGGGCGGGCCTGGCCGCGAAACGCCCGGCGCGCGGCCTTGGCGCCTGGGTCACCCCTGGAGCGTCAGGACCTTCCCGGGAGCTGCCATCCCTGGCCGAGTGTCGGCCGCGCTTCTGGGAGGGAGCGCGCGGGCGTGGCGTCACCTCGGGCCGGGGCCCACGGACTGATGCACCGTGTGGGGCGGGCCCGCGCGTGCTGAGCGTTCGCGTCTGTGCGCGCACTGCCTCTATGACTGCCAACAGAAGGGTCGCAGCCCACGCCCTCCCACCGTCCAGCAGTTGGCACCCGTCTCCTGTCCCCTTCCATAAAGCCAGACCACACAGGGGCTCTTTGGATTTTTTTTTTTTGCAAAACATTCTTTTATTAAAAGAACAAGTGCTGTTTACGAACTGCCCTTCGTACAAATAACATCCGTTATACAAAGATACAAGATCCGGGTTATGCACAATTCCAGGCTTGGAGGTGGCAGGGGGGCATCGCCTTTGGGCTGAGGATATCAAGGTTTTAGAAAGAATGAAAAAGGAGCCCCTGGGTTTGCAATCTGTGGCTTCCCCTCCCTGCTCCCTAGGAAGGGTCTGCTACATGGAAACAGGCTGGGATGGAAAGGGGGCGGGACGGGAACAGGGGTGGGGTCTCCAGTCCTACCACCCAAGTCCCAAGTGGAGCTAGAGAAAGTGAACAAAGGGGAATGAGGGTACCCCTCAGTTCCCAAGTTTTCAGTAGATCAAGACAAAGTGGTCGGGAGCGAATCACACTCTCAGTCTGGGTCGACACAGGGCAGAGAGCCGAGGCCACTTCGCCCACCTTCCTCAGAATTCCCAGTTGAAGTTACCCCACTCCTAGGCACCTCTCCCCAGGAAGAGAACTGGATGCAAACTGCCTACCCCTAACTGGCCCGCGGCACACTAAGGAAGATGCTAGGAGCTGGCAGGAGCACCTGTGCCTTTGGAAACCTGTCTGCATTTCCAATTTGGGGAAGAAGTGTGGAGGTTGCCCTTTCTTGGAGCTCGCCCCTGGCTTGGGCTCCTCTCATTTCTCTAGACCCTTCCCAAGAGTCTAGGGCAAGCACCTCCCTAGAACTCAGTATGAAGGGAATGGGCAGCCTCAAGGTCAGGACACCGTGAGGCAGCGGCAGACCCAGGAGCCTGAGGGGAAAAACCCACAAATAGGAAAAACAAACCCAGACAGTCCTTAAAGTGTCACTGTCCATGGAGAGGATCCACCAGCTCTGAACTAAAACAGTCAGGGCCACACAGACACCCTCCCACCTAGGCACAGCCCTGCACTCACACCCAGTGTCACACACACAGGGACAGCCAGCCAGCCCTGTGGAGACTGTGCCATGGGGCAGGAGGCCACAGACTTGAGGGCTGGTCCTGGCCCTGCCACTGAGCCCCCTGCCTCTTCTAGGCTTGGAGCTGTCATCTGTGATGGGAAGAGCTGACTGAAACGATCCCTAAAGACAGGTCCCTTCAGTGCTGTCATGCACCAGTTGTGACCCCACAGCAGGCACTGCCCCCATATGTATACCCACTCACACGTCCTCGCCAAGGGTGGGAACACCTGACTTTGCATGCTCCGCACTCACACGTCCTCGCCGAGGGTGGGAACACTTCACTCTCATGCGTTTTCAAACTCTGCTTCCGCTCTGCAAACCACATCCTTCCCCTCCCCTAGACAAATAGATCTACAAATCTGGGTCTCTTCCCACCCCTTCCACCATCCAAAGTCACTCTTGAAAAAGGGACTGAGGTTACAAGAGGCACGGGGAGGGGGTTACTGCCATGCCCCTGCACTGGCATCCTGCTCCTCCTGAAGCTTTTGAGACCTTTCCCATTGAAGCTCCCTCAGAAGAAAATGCCACTTCTCTCCTGAGAGACTGGTGGAAAGGAGAAGAGGGCCGTACCAATTCATACCCAGCCTGGGCCCTGTCTCCAAATCTACCTGACCCGCCACAGTAGCCCAGCCTGAGAAATGCAAGCGGCTTGGGAAAGTTGGAGAACAGACACTTGGAGATGAGAACCCCAGGCTTTGGGTTGGGTTGACGGAGGGAAGAAGTGTTCTGAGTGGGGGTGGGGGGTCTTGGTTTCGGTGCACAGAACTCTTCAACATGGCAACCTTGGAGTAGATGTACTTCCCTTCCCTTCCCATCCAGAGAGACATTAAATCTTGCTCTAAGTGGGCCAGCCTTGGGCAAGGGTGTGGGTGTGAAAGAGCAATTTCTCAAAGAATCTATGAAAGTTACTTTTTTTTTTTTTTTTGAGACAGAATCTCACTCTGTTGCCCAGGCTGGAGTACACTGGCACAATCTTGGCTCACTGCAACCTCGGCCTCCCAGGTTCAAGCAATTCTTGTGCCTCAGCCTCCCAAGTAGCTGAGATTACAGGCGTGCATCATCACACCTGGCTAATTTTTATATTTTAGTAGAGATGAGGTTTCACCATGTTGGCCAGGCTGGTCTGGAACTCCTGACCTCAGGTGATCCACCCACCTCAGCCTCCCAAAGTGCTGGGATTACAGGCGTGAGGTACCGTGCCCAGCCTGAAGTTTACTTTTCTTTTCGGTGGTTTGGGGCAGGGAGTTACAGAGCTTAATAGATTAAAATGAATAAAATGCTGAATTCTATCATTTCTTTCTAACATATTTAGCATTAATAGAAAGTATTTCTGAGGTCATCACAACTGCCTCCCCTTCCCCCAAGCCCTTTGCAAGTGCCTAAGAAATTGCCTCTGAAGGATTCCCACCCCCTCCATTATCAGCTCCCTAACATCTTACAAAGTCTTATCAACAGGAATATTAATATTATTTTCAGTATCAGAAAAAAAAAAACAGTTGAGCAGCACAGGCAAAAATATATCTGCACTACGTTTCTGTCATTGCCAAAAATATACACATCTTCTTTTATTTAAAAAAAAAAAGAACCCAACAACAAAAACCCAAACAGAAACACACACAGAAAAATCCACACATGCAAAGAGACTGACAAGGCAGGAGCCTGGGAAGCGGGCAGCGCCTACCCTGGGCTCCAACCCCAGTGCAACCGAAACAGGACACAGGCTTTGCCTCGCCTCTCGCCTCTCTTCTGACTGTCCACTCAGCCTGTGCCAAAGGCCAGGGCAGGCGGAGACTCTTTTAAGGTGAGAAGTGCCCAGGACACCCTGGGAAATAGCTGGTGGGTGAGGGACAGCTGTTAGCTCAGCTTAGTGGCTCCCCTGGTTGGTGGGGGTGGGGTGCAGGAGGCAGGCTGGTTAATTCTGGGAGGGAGGCTTTTGCTAAAAGCAGTGGCATTTTCCCCCGTTACCTCCTCCCCCAAGCCCTGGGGCTCCCCTTGTGCCAGGGAAGGACCAAGCTATCAGTGGGGTAGGGGGCCCTAAGGGGGCCCTGAGACCATGTGGGGTCAGGGGAGGGAAGGCAGGATATTACCCTGATTCAAAGCCCCAAGCCCTCAGGGACTCTCCAATATTGGAGTACTGCTCTGGTTTTTGTTAAGCATTCATGCCCCAGAGAGGGACCAAAGTTGGTGAGGTGGGGAGCGTGCAAATAAGCTGGGAGCTCCCCTCTCTGGCGCTGCTTCAGTGACCACTGCACCTATCCCTACCCCAGGTCCAGGGGGAGAGAGGCAGGCAGGCAGGCAGGCAGGCAGACACACACGCACGCACACACGCACTCTCTCACACAACACACACTGAATCAGGCAGCTCCATCTCCCCACCCTCGGCACTCCTAAGTCCAATAGTGCAAACAAAGGGCGGGGCACCAAGCAAGGCCGGGTGCCTCCCCGCACCTGCCCTCTCCTCCTCATCACCTGGGCCCCAAGAGGTTGAGGGCTGAGTGTGATGCTGTCCTGCCCCTTCTCCAGCCCCCGCCATCCGTGGGCTCTTACAAGCTCAGCTTGTGCCCCTGCGCTGGGAGGGAGGGATGGCAAGAAAAAGTCCAAAGGGTCCCTTCTGCCATCTGCCCGAGCTGGGAAGAAACTGCAGGTAAAGTGGGTCCAGCCCTTCTTCCATAAAAGATTTCCCCTCGGGGACAGGCCCAGGGCCTCTCGCTCCACTTCTCCCCATTCAAGTGCTGATCCATTTCATGTGACAGGTCCAACGAACCCCTACTTCTGCCATAGCCCCTTTGCTCTCACGGACCCCCCAAACATCTGCTGGGGGTGGAGCTCCTAGGCGGGCTTGCCTGTCCTTCCTCTGAGCCTCACAAAGCGGACAGCGCAGAAAGGGAAGGGGGCCAGATGGAAGGGGCTCCCCTCCAGTCTCAGTCCTCGGCACCAGGAGCTCCCCACACTCCCTGGACCTCAGCACTGGGTCAAGGCTCTCCAGCGTCTGGGCGCAGGTGCCTGCTCCAGGGTAGGACCCCTCAGGCCAGGATCTGCTCCCTCCACTTAGGGGGTCAGGAGGGGTGAGGGTGGATTTAGCCTTTTTCCTGGTTGGCTGAGGCTCCTTTGTCAGCGGTCTGGAAAGAGAGGGAGGGAGGCTGGGCGTGTGGGAAGTGTCAGGTCTAACCCCCAGATGAGAACAGCCTCCTGGGCCAAGAAAGCTGCCGTGGGGTGCTGAAGCCGGGCCAGTGGAAGCCTCTGGCCTGGGCTCTGAGGAGTGCGCAGGGCTGTGAAAACCACCCTGCAGAGGAGCGCCGGGTTGCATGGGTATGTGCCAGTCAAGGCTTGTGCCCTCACGGGGAGGAGGGAGAGCCTTTCTGACATTGGCCTATCCAGAGGGTCATCATTTTCTAATTGGTCTGCTCAGAAACAAAATGGCCTTTTCAAATTGGTCCTCCCAGAGGAAGGCTGTTTTCTAATTGGTCCTTTTCCTCTTAGCCCATGCTTCGACTGGATCTTTCCTGGCTCTGCAGGAGGGCACCCATGTGCCAGGAGAGGCCCTGGCTTCTGAGGCAGGGCACTTCGCTGACCTAGGGACTGTTTCTTTCACCCTGTGGAGGCACCTGATGATAAGCCTTCTGACAATCTATCTCTGCCTAGCCCTCAGAGGGGAGACAGGAAGTTCCCGGGCCCCTTACTCACCCCTCCTTTGGGGCCACCACCACTGCCATCTGCCCCCGACAGGCTGAGGAAGGGGTTGGTCTGGGCAGTGAGGACTGGAGGTCCGCCTGCTGCTGCCACTGCTGCAGCTGCAGCTGCTGCAGCCATGAGACTTGTGTTGTTGCCAAGTGAGGGAGCCACTAGGGCTCCGGCGGGCAGCAGGGGTGGAGCAGACGCCGTGGGCAGCAGGCCAGGGGTGCCCGCAGACAGCAGCGGGGTGGAGCTTCCTGCCAGCAGGCTGGCCATGGGCAGCTGGGAGCCCCCGGCCATCTGCAGGCGCTGCAGCTCCCGTTTCTGCTGGATCTGCTGGATCATCTGGTAGACAACAGTCTGGTGTTCCTGCAAGGGGGCCAGACTGCTTGTTGGGCAACAGTCCCAGGGATCTCTTCCCTGCTGCTGCCTGCCCTGCTTGGCTGGGCCCCCACCCCATCACACTGGAACCAGGAGCCAAGAGGCCTCTAAGACAGTCAGGGTACTCAGCCTCGGTCTCCCCACCTAGACAAGAAAATGGTTGCACACCATTGGTGTTTGCCAGCTGGGGCACTGCCCACCAAGAGCAGGGTATTTAACACCTCTGGCCCTGCCCACTGATTCACCCCTCAGCTGCCAAGACAACCACAGACACCCCCAAGTTGAAAAACAATAGGCTAATAATTTTCTTTTTTTTGAGACTGAGTCTTGCTGTGTCACCCAGACTGGAGTACAGTGGTGCGATCTTGGCTGACTGGAACCTCCACCTCCCAGGCTCAAGCAATTCTCATGCCTCAGCCTCCCGAGTAGCTGGATTACAGGCTCCTGCCACCACACATCTAATTTTTGTATTTTTAGTGGAGACGGGGTTTCCCCAAAACTATTGACTAGGTCAATAGTTTTCAATTTGCCGAGCATGGTGGCTCATGCCTGGAATCCTGGCACTTTGGGAGGCCAAGGCAGGCATGACCTGAGGTCAGGAGTTCAAGACCAGCCTGACCAATCTGGCGAAACCCCGTCTCTACTGAAAATACAAAAATTATTAAATGTGTTCAAGGAGATTATAGTAAGATGAATGCATCCAATAAAAAAAATACAAAAATTAGCCAGGCGTAGTGGCGGGTGCCTGTAATCCCAGCTGCTCAGGAGGCTGAGGCAGGAGAATCACTTGAACCCAGGAGGCAGAGGTTGCCGTGAGCCAAGATCATGCCATTGCACTCCAGCCTGGGCAACAGAGTGAGACTCAGTCTCAAAAAAAAAAAAAAAAAGTAAAACTCCTTTTCTCCAAAGGTAGTTTCAGCCGACCTGACATGGGATAAACCAAAGAAGCTGCTCTGGTTGAGAGTGGTGTCACCTGCGCAGCCACTTAGACCCTGGAGTTTCCCCTGAACGTCCTTGGGGCTGGGACTGAAATGCTCAGGACTAAGGACTTGCTGGCCTCCAGGGTCTCTCAGCAGGATGTGACCTGGGGTTTACAGCAGGCCTTCCTCAATGCCCAGGGGACCCTGGGCATGATCTTATCCCCTTACCTCCCATGGACACCCCACAGGTCCCAGCCCCAGTCCCACAGGCCCAGCCTGGAGCTTCCCCTCCCTCTCTCTGCTCCTGCCCTCTCCCAGCTGGCCCAGATCCTCTGAGATGAACCTTCCAGGCAGACCAAGAGGCACCTGAGGCAGGGAAGGGAGGAGCATTACCGGGGTCAGCTGCGGGGAGGCCAGGAGCTGCTGGAGTTGCTGGAGCTGCTGCTCTTGCTGCTGAAAGAGTTGTCTCTGCTGCTCTGTAAGGCTGAGGTGGGAATGGGGTGGGGGGACAACACACAGATCATGGCGGAGGGCCAGGGAAACACTCCTGCTCCCACTCCCAAGTCCCCAGACTCCATCAGACCCCAGGGAAGCAAGGCAGGGATGTGCGATCTTAGAGCACTGTGCTCAGGGGGTGCAGCAGGAGGGATACAGGTCTGATTTGGAAGAACTGTCTCAGAAGGAAATCCTGGAGTAAAGAACAGGAAGTAAACAGCTCTTTTGTCCCCGGGGAGCTACCGTCCAGAGGACACTCATGTCTAACAGTCTGTGGAGTCCCTAGAGGCCAAGAGGTGACTAGGATTATATATCCTGTGAGACCAGAGGTCATTTTTCCTTTTAGGGATTGTGGGTGTTGTGGGGAGCATCCCTCCCTTACCAGAGCCAGCCCCCCACCCTGTTCCCTTTCCCAGGGCTGAGCTCTCCCTCACCTGTTGAGACAGCCTGGCAGCTGCAGCGTGGGGGCCCCGCCAGCCTGGCTCAAGCTTGCAGGGTTGGGGGCAGCGGCCCCATTCAACCCCCCAAGGAGCCCATTGAGGGGCAGGCCCCCACTGCCTGCCAGCCCCCCCAACAGCCCCTCAGCCATGGGCATGGCCCCCAGCCCCGCTGCCCCTGGTGCCCGGCCCAACCCGTTCTGCGGCTGGGGCGGGAGTGGGGCAGGGGCCCCAGGCAGGGCCAGGGGCAGAGTGGCAGGGCTCTGCTGGAGCAGGGGCAGCGGTGGGGGCGTGCTGTGGAAGGACAGCGACGAGCTGCTGCGGCTCGGGCAGCCTGAGTGTGGGTCCTGGGGAGGGAGGGGAAGGGAGGGGTCAGAGGGCCAGCATGAGCTTTCTGGCCCCTGGCCCAGCACCCACCAGCATTCTCACAGAGCACAGCAACCCCCACTTCACCCCCAGGCACCCCTGGAAGAAGCAGGGTCCAGGGATGAGAGCTAAGAATCCAAACTGTCTTCACAAATCATGTTTCCTGACCCCCTCCTGGGCGCCCAGTGCCTCTCGTCATCCTCATTTAATAATGGACAATGATGATGGTGCTGACCATCTGGTGAACCAGATCCTGGGCTAAGGGCTTGACCTGTGCTATTTTGCTATTCTCATTTTATGGGTAAAGCCATTGATTCTGCACAGGTTAAGTAACTCTGTAGGCAAAAGTACTACAGCCGAAGTGAAAGCCTCAGGTTCAAACCCCATGTCCACGATTCAACAGCTTGGGTGACCTTGGGTTCAACCTGTCTTAGTTTACTCATTCATAAGCTGGGGGATAACAGTAGTACCTATTCCATAAGCTTACGATGAAGACTAAGTGAATGCTTTAAAAAATCTCAGCACAGGGCATGACAAAGGGCAAGTGTGCAATTAATGCTGGTTATTATTATGATTACTACTGCCCAAGTCACACAGTTAATAAATGGCAGAGAGAGAACAAGAACCCAGTTTGTTGGATTCCAGTAATAACCACAACACAACAATAGCAACTGCTATTCCAACCACCACCAATTACACAGGGATTATTTTGCATGAGGCGATATAATAATCCCTTGACAAATACTTCTCCAAGAGGCCTTCCCTAACCACTTGCTATCCACAGAAGCAGCCATCAATTTCTCTCCACCCTAACATGTCTCCCAGTTGGTAATTACTCCTTTTTTGCTTGGGGTAGCCTATCTCAGAAGCAGCACTGTGCCAGTTTTGCTCACTGATTGCTTAGCCTGGCACTAAGTGGGCACCTCATAAATATTACTTGATTAAGGGAGGAATGAATGGATCAATCAATTGCTCAGCCAATCACTTCACTGCCCAGCCGCCAATAGCTGCAGGGTAGAGATGGGACCAGAAGAGCCTTGAGTTCCCCCCTCCTTCCTGCCCCGCTCCTCGCAGTGCCCACCTCAGAAGAAGTGGACAGCGAGTTGTCCAGGCCGAGGCTGCTCTTTCCCGGAGGGCTCTTGCTGGTGCTCAAGGAGTCGCTGCTGCCGGCTGCGGGAGGGATGTTATCGGCTGCAGTCAAGGCCAGTCCGAACTGCATGGCAGGGGCCTCTCTCCCGGGCTGGGTGGGATCCTCTCACCTTGGGGAGGCAGGCCATAGGGCCCAGGGACAGGGCCGTTGGCGGCAGGCAGGGCAGCAGGCAGGGCAGGGAAGGGCACAGAGAGCTGCACGTTGAGAATCTGCAGCCGCTCCTTCTTGGCCGTCAGGCTCAGGATCTGCTCTTGCAGCCGCTGGTTTTCCTTCTGCAGCGCGTGCAGCGCTTTCAGCATCTCCACGACTGCGGAGACAGCGACGAGCCTGAGGCCCGGGCGAGGAGGGGCGGGGCCAGGGTACCTGAGGAGGGGCCTGGAAGGGAGTCAGGGCTCAGCCCTCAAAAAGGAGGTGGCATCCTAAGGAGGGGCACAGGTGAGCTCTGAGAAGAGAGGCGGGGCCTGGGGAGCCACGGGTGTGAGGACCAGGGGTGAAGCCTGACGCTGACGTCGAGGCCACAGGGATCAGGAAAGAAGGGCGGAAATTGCGGTTTAGTAAGGTCGGGGCCCGGAGGCCAAGACGGCCAAAGGTGGGGCGCAGACGGGCCAGGGCCGGTAGCGTGGCCCGGCTGGGATGAGAGGTGAGGCCCGGGGTGGCAGAGAGTCAAGGCTGAGGCAGGGCTTAGGGGCGGAACCTTAAAGAAGCCTGGGGACCTCGGGGAGAAAGGTGACATTTGGGACCCTAGGACAGGCGTTCCAACCGGTGCCACCCCTCCTCACTGTTGACGCCAGCTTCCCCGTCGCCCTGTTTCTCTAGCAGCTGCTCCATGTTAGTCGTCCCTGGGGCCGCCGGGTCTAACTGGCCGCCCCCGCAGGGTGCAGAGGCTGTCTGGTCGAAGAGTGCGGGAAGGCTGCTGATGGGGGACCTGCGGCCAGAGGGAACCTGGGCTCAGCTGACCCGACCACTCCGGGCTTCTCCGTCCCTTCCCCCGTACCCCCAAGGGGTTCCAACCCGCGCCCTCCTCTCTGCCCCTCCTCCCTCGGATGTCCCTCCTGCCCCCAGCCCCTCCTCCAGGCCGCCCCTTCCCTCACATGGAAGACAGACTCTCCTGGGGGGAGGTCCCCCGACACCGGAAGCTGCAGTCCTCCAGGTCTGGCTCTTGGAAGAAGGGAAGACTGGGATCAGCGGGGAGGAGTGCTCGCTGCCTCAGGGTCAGTGCCCCCGAGGTGGGTCTGGGATCGGGACCTCACCGCAGATCCCCTTCCCCAAGAATTTCCAACCCCAGACTGGCGGTTCAAGGCCAGGGCTGAGGGCCCTGGCTTGGAAACCCTGCCCCTGGGAGGCAAACAAACTCCGGGCGTCTGCTCTCTTTTCCTCCTCTAGGCTGAAGGCACCACTGGCTTCTTTCAGATCCTCCACCCAATTCCTTTCCTGGGATCTTCAGAGTTATAGAAATTTAAGGTCAAGACAGACCTGGATTAAACTTAAACCTGACACCAACTTGTGTGACCCTGGGCTCTTTCCTAACCAGCCTCTCTGAAGTGACTGTTATTAAGATTAAAAGAAGGTAATAAGTGTGTTCAGCTGAAGGGTTTAGCTAGCATGTGGCAAGCCCTTAATGACTGCGGCTATTATCATAATTAGCTCTGTATGGCTTTTTGCTTTCATCAGATCCCTAATCAGGAGGCAAAACTCTTCCTTGGGCCACAGAATCCTGATCTGAGTTTTAACAAATATATCACCCTACTCTGTCATTCTCAAACGTCGAGTCCTATTTGTCCCCTTTAAGAAGGCTTACCTGAGCCGACAGCCTGGCTGTAAGCCCTGCCTCCCAGCCTGACAGGTGGTCTCCCTGCACCAATCAGCTCTTTGGGGCTGGGTTGACTCTCCAGGGAGAGGGCGGGGAGCTTGTGGCCCGCCCCCTTAACTCCTAAATACCCAGAGAGGTTGGGCCCTTCGTAAGCGCTGATCCCAGGGACACACTAAGAGGCCAACGGGGAGGCTACACTATACCGGTGAAAGCACTGGGCTTGGAGTCGGGAGACCAGAATCTGAGCTTTGGCTCTGCCATTCCCTGCCTTGAGCGAGTCTTCCATCTCTGCCTTTTTCTTCTGTGAGATGGAGCAGTAACTGCCCGGCCCTGCCTTCTCATTGGGTTCTAATGTGAAAGCGTACTCTGGTTTGCTGTGTGTGGATTTTTTTTTTTTTAAGAGACAGATTCTCCCTATGTTGCCCAGGCTTGTTTTCTAAGTAGCTGGGATTACAGGTGGCAGGCACTGCGCAGGGGTTTTGTTTTGAGACGGAGTCTTGTCACCCAGGCTGGAGTGCAATGGCGGGATCTCAGCTCACTGCAACCTCCGCCTCCCGGCTTCAAGCAATTCTACTGCCTCAGCCTCCTGAGTAGCTGGGATTACAGGCGCCCACCACCACGCCCAGCTAATTTTTGTATTTTTAGTAGAGACAGACGGGGTTGCACCATGTTGGCCAGGCTGGTCTCCAACTCCTGATCTCAGGTGATCCGCCCACCTCCCAAAGTGCTGGATTACAGGCATGAGCCACCACACCCAGCCTGTTTGTTTTTGCAGGGAGGGCAATGGCCAGAGGGAGGGGGAAGCCATAAAGCTCTCCCATCCTTTTTGGGGTCACATGCAAGTGATGGGTATTAGACCTTTGGGAAGGGGAGGTGGGGGGGTCAGAGATTCACATACCTGTGTGGCTGCTCTCGGCTTGGGGGAGGAGGGGGTTAACGGCACCCATGGGGGTTCCAAAGACGTGGGTGGAAGGGAGGCTAAAGGTAGAGCCAGCCAGAGAAAACACCTGAGGGAGGGAGGCAGAAGGCAGCCTGGCCATTAGTCTTGGATCTAGGCACAACTGTGTGTACTGGGATGCAGGGGGCCAGGCGTGCTGGGGAGCAGAGTGGACCAGAGCCCGGAGGGAGGTCTGGTGGCAAAAGCCCAGTTGCTCCAATTCCCATGGAAGGCTGGGGTCCACTGCCAGTCTTTCCCCAATCTGCCCAGGGAAGGAAGAGGCCAGGAGTCAGGTCTCACCTGAGTGGTGGAGATAGAAGCAGAGGAGGAGGGGAGGGTGCTGGTGAACGGGGAACGGCTGAGGCGGGGCAGGGCTGAGGTCCCTGGGGGCCCCAGCAGGCTGGAGGAGAGGGGGGTGCTGCAGACAGCCCGAAGCATCCCACCACTGTGGGAGATGGGGTCCTTATTACTGGTGTAGATGCCTGCAGGCACAAGAAGGACAGAGGGAAGCACACGATTACCCTCCACCTCTGATTCCTCCTCAGCCAGGTGGCTGCAACAGCCCCTCCCCAGCTAGAGCGACCCCAGAATCTGGCTACACACCCCAGTCTAACCCTCTTGCTGCAAAGATGTCACTTTTTGCCTCGGTGACATCTGTTTGCTGCGTCTGCTTGTTAAACTGCCCTGCACAGGGCTGGGAATTCCTAGCTTTTCTAATCTCCTTCCCAAAACTTGGTAAAACCTGCTGGTAATATGCCCCCAATCCTTTCCACTCCAGCCATGCACAGGGGGATGTCTTGGAGGTGACTGACACCTCCTTACTCTATCTTTTGGAGCAATATCCATCCCATTTCCTTCTAAGTGCATGTGTAACCTCTGTTCCTCACTAGACTGGCTGGGCCCTGAAATGCCGTCCATCCCCAGGGGTCACTAACCTGCCCCTAGCAAGGGGGACTCCAGGCTCAGGCTGGGCAAGCTCCCAGAAGGCCCAAAGGTTCGGGAGGCCAGACCTCCCAGGCCAGAACTGACCAGGGAGCCTCCGGAGAAGGGTGAGGCAGCAGTGGCGGTAAAGCCAGCCAGCTGGGCACTGGGCAAGGATGGGGTAGCTAGGCCCCCAGTGCCCTCCTTGTTCCGGCTGCCCTTGGGACGGCCTGGCCCATGGCGGCTCCTCTTGCTGGCTTTGTGCTTCTTCTCCTTCAGGCCTGTCTCAGGGGTCTCCTCAGCAGGCACAGGGGTGGCACTCAGCGCGGGCATCCGCTTGTGGGTGCCTGCTGAGGCCCCAGACCCCGTGACGTGTGGAGACTTATAGTCCCCAGGGGAGGGCGCCCGGGCCCGGCCTGAGCTGGAGGTGGTGGTGGAGAATCGCATGATGGGCCCAAAGCCAGAGAAAACCACCTTCTGCTCAAAAAGGTCAGCCTTGGGGGGCTCGGGGGCTGAGGGAGAAGGCGGGGCTGAAGCAGCAGGGGCTGTGGGCTTGGGGTACTTGTCCTCCTCTGGCTGTTCCAGCTTGGGGAATGCAGAAAAGTCAGGGGAGCTCTGCAGGGACGAGACTGCACAGACAGAAAACAGGGTTACAGCAGGAACCCGGATCCCCGCACTCCCTCCCACTCCCGCCTGTACTGGCGGGAGAGAGCTCTGGTCCAGGAATGGGGACGCTTGGTTTCCTGTCCCAGCTCTGCCACTGTCTGTGTCCTGGGATGAGTACCCCTGACCCCTCCAGCTTTCCCACCTGTAATAAAATGGGGGAGAGTAACTCGCACCCCACTGGCCTCACCAGATGACTGCAGCGATTAAAGGAGATAAACAGTCAATGGGGGTGCTTGAAAAATGGCACCTTGCAGCACAAATGCAAGGGATAAGAATACTGTCATGGGGTTGGCGGGGCAGCCCTCGATGGGGAGAGGAGGAGAGTTTGGAGAGGAGTCACTTGGTGGGGATCCCCCATCTTTATCCTGAACCAATGTAGAAGTAAATGAGATGCAAACCAATATGCAAAGACCCTCGCCAGAAAAGCTCAGGACAAAAGGCTGTCCCCACGCCACTCCCAGCCTCCTTCTGGACGCCCACACTCACCTGCAGGCTGGAAGGGCCCCCCAGAGGAGGAGGAGGAGGAGGAGGAGGAGGAGGAGGAGGAGGAGGCGGAGGTAAAACCGCTCACACCTTTCCCGCTGCTCAGTTTCCTCCCCTTATGACTCAGGCTATGGCTGGAAGACTTTTTCCCCTTTGAGTCCCTGCTGCTCTCAGAGGGTTCCTGCGTGCTGGCCTCGTGGTGGGAGGAAGAGGAGGCCGAGGAAGAGACCTGAAGGAGAGGAAAAGAGAAGGCTCGTCACCAGCTGCCTGGGCCTGTGCTGATCCTGGCATGGGGGTGAAGCAGGAGGGCAAAGGACCTGGCTCAACTGGGAGACCCCACAGCTAGCTTCATGAAGGGCTTCCGGGCAGGGAGTGGCTGGGAGCTCCTAGACCAGGGATATGGGGAGGCAGCTGTGGAACTCCTGGGTGTGAGGCAGAGGGGAATTCACTGAACCCAAAAAGGTGTCTGTCCTTCACCCCAGGCGGAAGTTGGAGGGTGAGGGAGAGATGAAAACAGTCCCAGAGTCTGAACTGATTTACTCATTGGTCCATTGATTCACTGAATACTTAGGCTGCCTGAGAGGGCTGGAGCTATGCTAGAAGTGGGGGGCAGAGAAGAGGACCCACAGGAGAATGGGCTTCTTCTCTGGTGTCATCCTGGAGCCCTCTGGCTGCCACCCCAAACTTCAGCCCCCTGGTCTCCCACCCATTCTCTGACCACCCATGGTCTTCCTAGACGACCTGAGATTGCACACACTAAGCATCTGCCAGGAGAGCCTATCCTTACTCTTCCTGGGAAATTTCTCATCCTTTAAAATCCAGCTTAGAAGTCCCTCTTTCCTGAAGCCTCCCTAAATACCTCAGGTACAAGGCACTCTGTCCCCTTACTTTCAGAGCCCTGTGCACACATGACCACATGTCAACAGCTGCCATTCTGCACTGAAATATTCTGTCCCATGTCTGAGGCACCAGAAACCAAGCAGAGTGGCAGGGTGGCAGCTGACAGAGCATGGGCTCTGGAGTCGGGCAGGGCAGGGTATGAGCCTGGGGGGCACTGCCCTTCACCAACATGCTTTTTTTAAAAAAAATTTTCATTTTTTGAGAGAGTTTCACTCTTGTTGCCCAGGCTGGAGTGCAGTGGCATGATCTTGGCTCACTGCAACCTCTATCTCCCTGGTTCAAACGATTCTCCTGCCTCAGCCTCCCAAGTAGTGGGGTCACAGGTACCTGCCACCACACCTGGCTAATTTTTTGTATTTTTAGTAGAGATAGGGTTTCACCATGTTGGCCAGCTGGTCTCAAACTCCTGACCTCAGGTGATCTACCTGCCTTGGCCTCCCAAAGTGCTGGGATTACAGGCGTGAGCCACCACACCCGGCCTCACCTCCATGTTATATTGTGCAATGTCTCAACCTCCACGAGTATCAGTGTCCTTACGGGGAGTACTATGCGTATGTGGTGAGTGAGAAGCAGCATGATGCCAGATACATGGTATGGGGTCAATACGTGATGAGGCGTTCCATGGCAACAACTGCAGAGACAGTACTGTGAGCTGGTGAAGAGCACAAGCCTTCAACCCAGACTGCATTTGAATCTCAACTCTACCACGTTACTCCCTGTGTGCTTTTAGGCAAATACTTAACCTTTCTGTGCCCCATGATCTTCATGTATTAAATGGGGTTTGTAAATTACCAACTTCATTAGATTATTTTGAGCATTATTGAACTAATCTCCACATGTCCTTCCATCTCCTGGTTCTAGAACACAGCCTG